TGCCGTAGTTCTACAACAACAATAAGCGATCGGTTTCGCTCCATGAGCAAACCCTGACATAAGGCAACTCCACGTGAAAGAAATACCAACATAACATTAGTTGTTAGAGATGTGCTGAACACAGTGAAGTCTATTTGGTGGACAAAGGTTGAATTAGTAAAGGTTAAGCTCGTTTAAATCAAAAGTTTTCAATGAAAAAAGCTTTCGAATGAATTGGTGTAATATTTGTCAGAGGCTAAACCATTAAATTATTTTAGCAAGTAAAGGATATTAACCTAATATGGCAAACCGAAAAGATATGTAGATTGTTAGACGCGTCTTCAAACACTAATTCCAAATCTGCGTTCCTTTCCCGCGGAGCAAAGCAAATTTATTAAGTCTCAGGTGGCATAATGTCGACGGGAAGCTGTACAAAACACCAAAAAATCCATTTTGTATCAAGTATTCTGACTACAAAAAAGAAATACAGCTAATGGAAATAAGCTTAGTGTTTTTGTATAGATTTTCTTGATTTTATGCCGCTTAAGGCAATGAAAAAACTCCAAACAACGAAAAATGATAATTCTCAATTAAAAAAAAGTAGAACCTTCGTCATTTGCTTGACGTAAACTGTGTGATATTGCACTTCCAGACTTACAGGCACCGGCAGCAAGTGCCAGCACACTTCCGACATTTTGCATAAAGGGGTTCTCAAAATCTCAAACTACATTTAAGCTTTCTCGAGATCACTATGGCACTTTGCACTCAGAAGTTTCCCTTTGAAAAGGGTTTCTTTACGGTTAGGTCGGAGTTTTTGCCAGTCTTACATCAAGTTGACGACAGGCTGATTTCAAGACCTACCACCGGATTGAGGAGGATTACTACCGGCTCACGTATTGAAGGCCATGTTGTCTATCTGCTCAGCGTACTTTTGTCGACAGTTTCGCTAACGGTCATTGTTATATGTATTGTAGCAGGTTATCATTCATTCAATTTGATTGATTTTTCTATCTCATTTCTATCTCAAAAGTACAACCATTCAGCCACTCATATGCGCAATCTTTACGTATTCCTAGAGAATTTGACGCAAAGATAGAGCGCTGATTGAGGCGAGACGATTAGCGGAACAAACGCCACTGAGGGCAACAATCGCTAGACTTTTATTAGAATGCTGACACAAACATCAAAATACAGATATGTTTGTATTATTATGTACAACTAAGATCTTATTTAGAAACTTCTGCTTATAATCCATATGAGAAACAACCGAAGCAATTATAGGCTATTGCTACATTGTGACACAGGAATAAAAATTGAGAAGTTCGCTTACATTAACAAAGCATGTGATTTTTTCCTCAAGACTAGTGGGCACACAACTTTAGCAGAAAATCAGGAATAAAAATATTTTTGTTCCAATTTCAAAATGATCAATTTTGAAGCTAGAAAGAAAAACTGTTTGTAATCAGCTTGAGAAAGCCAAAGCTACCTTTTCAGCATGCTGATAGTCCATATGAGCAGCTTATCTTGACCCCACTGATCCCATATGCTCCAATGTTGCTCCAGAGCATAGGTGCGATAGGGGGAGCCGGGCTCTCCTCAGGTGAAGGGGGTCTCGGCTGTTCCCGACCTTCCAGGGTGAAGGGGGTATGTGAGTTTAGGAGGGGGGGAGGGGAGGAAGAGAGAAAAGGTAAAAAAGCGTGGTATGAAGAGCTCTAATTTGTACCTTATCTAGGCACAAATTGAAAAAAAAATTTAAAAATTTTCAAAAGATATTAAAAAATTTTAAAAAAATTGATTATGAAGATCTGTGCTCCTGTTTCACTGCATCAACAATAACGAAAGCAATAATGTTTATCCCAAAAGATGTACAAGTTAGGAACAAATTCATTTCCTGCACATCATCATCAATAATATCACTATCGCTAACGTCAGAGACAACAAGTTCGCCGCCTGAAAAATCTTCTTCTTCCTCCAAAGGGTCATCGGAGTAGAAGTAGAATTGCGTGCAAAAGCGTTCTGAGTCGAAAATGGATTTGAAACTTTCTTCTTCTTTTGAGCGCTTTTGTGATTTTTTTCCTAGCCCTCTGGTAGCACCAGGAAGTCAGCAGGTAGGTGACCAGTTTCTTCATACCATCTTTTAGGATATTTCAAAAAGTCGTACGGTAACAGCCTGTCTGGACTACTTATACCAATCCTTTAATGAAGTTTTTAGATAACAATATTCTAGTAGAAGGTTACAAGCCTTAAGTAATTGCTTAGATGCTCCATCGTTGTACGAATTCCGCGTTGTGTTCTGATAATAGAGTAGATAGAAAATTTCTTTCTCCACCTCTGCCGTGCTAGTCGGAATGGAAACTAGCTTTGCTAGTAGGTCCATCAGATTTTTGCGGTAAGTAATGAGAGCCAGGTCTCATATGCTTTCGCAACACGGGAAGGAAATAGTGCTTACTTTTTGGGCCTTGTCGAACTCTGGCTTCACCTCCTCTGGCATACGTCTTGTTAGCTGATGAGAAAGCTACTCAACTTCTTCTTTAACAGCATCTGCGGAATACCCGAAAAAAGGAGGTACTATGCTGCGCGTTGGTTTATTTTTTCAATATCATAGGTCATATTGTCATATTTTCATATTGTCACAAGGCGAATAACTTCCAAAAGCATAAAGCACAGAGTTGGGTTCGCACTCCAGCCGGGATCTAAGCGCAGTAACTATGTTTTGTACTAACACCTTCCTTTTGTTCATATCCATGTTTGTGAATTCAGCAGCCTTGAATTCTTCAGCAACCTGAAGATCAGCAATGGACTTCCTGGACATTCCCTCATTACTAGACAATCTGCTTGGATTCCTTATGCAGGAAATCATAGAGTTTCGCTCAATTGCCAACTCTGTATCAATGTCGACAACATTTTCGTCGGCGTAAGATTCTCCTTCTGCTCGCTGTTGAACTGGAACATATGCGAGTCATCTGCGATTTTGTAAAGTATTTTGCCTGCCGTTTCCTCTTCAAACTGCCAACCTTTCCAAAACATTGAGGGATATTTTAATAACATGTTATGCTTCTGAATGTCTTAGAGTTTTTGATTCATTGAAAGCAACCATTCTCTACAAATCAGGTAAGGTGAGTCTAGAGCGTTTTCACGAAAGTGACCTTCTTCAGCACTAGGTTTACAGAGTTTAGATTCCAGAAATGGGCAAGTTTTTGTGTGAAGTTGTGGAAAATCACCAATCTCCCATAGTTTTTTGAGTGTGTGCTAATAATGATGGCATAATTGTCAATCAAAAGCGCATTTTTTACCAAAAAAAAAACATAAACATATAACAACGACAAGCACGCTCAAATAGACGCGTTCGCTCAAGTTCCCGTTAGTGCTGATAACGATGTCAATCCACAGCACATTTTTTACTATTAACTTGCTCCACCTCGCTCTTATTAGGTCGTCCGGAAAGTTTTTGCACACGAATTTCAAAATTCATAACTTCTGATTTTTCCAACCGATTTGACTGCTTTCACTTTTATGTGAAAGGGTATGTCATGCTCTTTATAATGACAGCTCAGCTGCTTAGTAATGGTCATCTGTTGCATAGATAGGAGCGATAGAAGAAAAATGGTAAAAATTTTAGTTTTTTGAGAAGGGTCATAAAAAATCGGAGACTTGCAACAAAAATCGGAGCATTCAGTACTGTAAGTTCTTTCACCAGCTCTTTCTAACAGTGCAAAGTTTGCGCCGATTGAGAATCTCCATGAAAAGTTATGATTTCCCTGAAAAATGCCAAAATAAATCAAATTCGCCTTTTTGTACTGCTTGTTCGGAAATTATAACTTTTCATGGAGACGCTCAATCGGAGCAAAGTTTGCACTGTTAGAAAGAGCTGGTGAAAGAACCTACAATACCGACTGCTCCGATTTTATTGCAAGTCTGATTTTTTATGACCCTACACAAAAATTCAAATTTTGAGTGATTTTGTTTTGAGCTTCTATCTATGCAACAGATGAACATTACTAAGCAGCTGAGCTGTCATTATAAAGAGCATGACTTACCCTTTCACATAAAAGTGAAAGCAGTCAAATCGGTTGGAAAAATCAGAAGTTATGAATTTTTGAAAATCGTGCGCAAAAACTTTCGGGACGACCTATACAATGTGTTGGCTTTTATGCACAGAAGCAAATGATTTTTAGAGCCGGAAAGCAAAGAAGTCCTAACATGATGTATTCGAAAGCTAAGATCATAGAGAATCGATGTAGACCGTCGACTTTTTTCTAGGTCTTCTGTGCCGCGAGATATGAGGGATTTCATGTGCTCCAAAAATTAACCGATTTTGTGTCCTCACTCTCTGCTCTCCAAAATGCTACGAGGATGAATAAATAACCATAAATAAACATAAATACCTAAACATAATTGGCAGAACATCTATTTCTATTATCACAACATAAATACCGTTTTTTTAGTAAATTTATGAGTGCACTTGTTGTTTGAGGTACTTAGCCTGCGTTTCGTAACGATTTTTATCATATTCTCAGAGTACAATACCAATCTCAGCCCAGGTGAAGGGGGTCATCGGGAGTTTGGCCTCAAAGTGAAGGGGGTAAGATCCATCACTCCCCCTATCGCAACTATGCTCCAGAGATATCATGGTCCTCCATCAACAGATTGTTGATTTCAATTCTCCTGCATCTTAATTTGAATAATCTGACATTTTAGAGAAGAAGCTTATGAATGAGGTCTTTTACCTCTGCAAAAACTTTTCAGTGAGTCATATTATTTAGGCAACATAAGAATTCAAGCACAACCTCAGCAAGTGCTAGTTCTGAAGTAGTGCATGATATTACGAAAGATGAGTTGCAATCTGAAGCTTATGACTTGCTGTAGATTAGCGATGTAGCGTGAGGGTAAATGAAACAAATTTTGGGTTGTCAATTGTCTAAAACCTCTGAGTTTCCTTTATAATGAAATCTCTATCATTTGCTAATGCTTCATATTATGTTCGATAAGAAGATTAGAAACGCGAGTGTTTGTTCTTTGCAGCTTAACTTGGGAATGCTAGGTGCTATGATATCGAGAAAGTACCAACAAGCATAAGACACTATGCCAAACGCCATGCTATTATTCGGTATTCTACCTTTCGTTGGACTTATTCAACCGCTTTACGCTGATCCAAGCTGGGTAAGACCTTTGATTTTCTCATGAAATGGTCACTTTTTGTACTAAGATAATCTTCGAAATGCCCGATCAGAAAGAACTATATAGAAAAATAAAAATATAAAAGAGACAAAATAAAATAACATACTGAACGTGCGGCATTTGGAAATTGAGTTGAGATAACTTGCAGTTGAATTAATTGGATGAATACCTTTTTCCAGAAATATTGCTTATGATGAGACAAAATTTGGAAATGCAACTGATTTGATAACAAGTCTTAAATCTTAGACTATGTAAATAAGTCTTTGTTTACAAAAGAAACGAATGTATTCCAGCAGACAAAAAAGTAGACTCTAATCTCAACAATTCAGCCATTTCCATTCCCGTTTCCTGGTGGTTTCCCCGTCCCATCAGAAATAGTAAACCTAACGGATGTATCGGATCAATGCTTAACGGATGTCAACATGTTCACAACGAGTTTGACCACTTATGCGCAGACCTTCGAGGAGTGTCGACGAGCTGGAGGATGTACCAAAGAGCAGCAGATAGTGCTCGACGAGCACAAATATGCCGTAAAGCGTCAGTTTCACAAGAAGACACTTACTGAACCAGGGCTCGGCAAAGATGGCTTTCCGAAAATGCAAAAAACGAAATCCCTCTTGACTTTCGCAAAATTTTTACGAAGTCGTCTTCGAACTTTAGACCCTACAATACCGCTCACATTTTTTGAAAAATAGACGCGAATGTATGGACATGTATGGACATGTCCATACATCAGCGTCGCGTGGCCATATCTCGCTTCAGAGTGGACGAATTCTGGATTCAAAGCCACCATTTGATTCAACTCGGCGCGGAGAATCTTCTGATATATTGGAAGTGGGGGTACGATGTTTTCGATATTCCGTTTTCAGTTTTTTGAGTTTGTTCTACGGAGGTCCTTTCGCGAATATGTGAAGCGACGCCTTCCCAACATAGAAGACTTTACTAAGTACTATTCCATAATGCTGTTCTTGTAGATTATTGTGCGCTAAAAAGTAGGCTCAGACTTCTTTTCAAAGGAGATAGAAGCGTTGGAAATTTTGGAAAAATCACGCGTTTCTAAATTCTACTCGCCATAACTTCCTTCGGAATAAGTATGTTTTGAACCCGAAAGCAGCGCCTTGCTCAGCTCATCAAGGCGATTTTTCTCATATACAGCATGTCCTTGATATTTCGATTTCAGTATTCATGAATCTTTCTGAGAACGTCTTTTCGCGAAGGTGTAAAGCAGCGAGCATTGTCCCGAGTACATTCCAGCGAGGATATTTCGATAGCACTTTTTCTGTAGACTATAATGTGTTAAATAGTAGCCGCAGTTGCCTTTTTAAAGAAAGTAGAATGGCGAGTGAATTGTGGAAAAATCTTGTCGTCCCAAATTCTACTCGCCATATCCGCAGAATACGAAGCTATCTTGCTAAGCAGATGTGAGTTTCGAAATCAGCAGGTCGCATAACCTCTACGAGCAAGTTTTCCGATATGTTCGGGTTATTCCACTTTTTCTCGTTTTACGCTCCGGAAGCTCGCCGATGGATTTTGGTCAAAATGTTGATGCTCTTGAATTGTAGGGAAACTTCGCTTATAGAGGTTTTCGAACACGCTCTTTACGAAAATCGTGGTCTTTGAGGATTACGGGGTCTTTTTGGAGAGATACGGTGAGGTGACTGTAACTGCATCACGAAAGTGCGTAAATTAACTTATACACTAATGATCCTGTTTCGCCTCTACCCCTAGACAGGTAGCTGTATTAGACCACTCCCGAGGCTCATCAGTAGGGAGGAGTGGGCTGGAGAAGGAAGAGAGTGATAGCACCGTAACAGGTTTGCCTTTTATACCTGTGGGGTAGGTCAGATAGATCAAAGGCAAGGCCAAGGATTCAAGTCATGCTATTTACCATTCTGTAAACGAATCTTTTTACATTTTTGAATGTGCTTAGCTGATTGTATTTATATGTAATACATTTGTTAAAAGTAACGCATTTGATTATTCCTAGTTGAATTACTTCCTTGTCATAATTTAAGCTAAGCAATAGTCTAATCAAATTTTCAATCCTTTCATAAAAATCCTCAAATTTTGTGCAGGTTCTGTAAATTCGCAATACTTCTGTATAAATAATAGCACATTTGAGAGTAAGGCTTATATGTGAAGTTCCATGTGAAAACCTTACAACTTCAAAGCCAAAAGCTTCAGTTTTATTGTATTGCTTAGTGATGATGACATTATTTCTGATAGAAATACTTAGGTCCAGAAAATTACAATCATAAAGAGTAGGATTAGTAGTCTCCATACTCAAAACGTTATTATAAACTTGAGTCAATAAGGATTTTATGTATTCTTGTGTTTGATCGTGAATAATTAAAATGTCATCCATGTATCGATATGCATGGAAAAGGAATTGATATTTTTGTATCTTACATGCAAATGTGTACTCAAAGTAAGAGAGAGTAAGGTCTGCAATTATAGGGCTAGCATTACCTCCTTGAGGTACTCCAACTATCTGATGAAATATTTGGTTGCCGACTCGGCAAAAACTATTACGCAGAATATAGTCTAAAAGATAAATTAGATCTTCTATTGTATAGTACCTATAGCCGTCTGTATCGTCCTGTGTAGAGGTGTACATTATTCTTTGATTATTATTGATTTTTATATATCTTTTACAAGCATTTCTGAAACATAGTTTGGTTATTTCTTTAAGGTTGTGAATTATGATATCATGCGGTATGTTAGTAAACATATTTGTGAAATCAGCAGAAAAGAGTCTTTTGTTTTTCGCTTCAATGTTTCCCAGGTCGGCGGATATATTTATATCATTTATAGCCCAGTAAGTTTGTAAGCATTTTTTATTCTTAAGAACAGTGTTTGCATAATTTTTGAAATGAATCCTGATGAAGTTTAGAAGATTTAACAGCTTAACCGTTATATGTTTGGTACTGCTGTCATAAGCACCAGTGATAAACCTAAATTTTGTAGGATTCTTATGTAGTTTGGGTAAGCAATATATGACTGGTATATTACAGGTTACTTTGCTTTTAATGTGCAGATTATTCGTAAAGATAAGATGTCTGGTGATGATGTCATTTATATTGGAATTCTCAACCTTTTCATATATGTTATTGACTGTATTATGTACAGTTAAACCCATTTCTTCTAATATTATTTTCAAGTATAGTCTTTTGCAAATAATTCCATAATTAGAACTGGCTTTGTCTAGAGGGCAGATTACAAAATAATTATGTATATAGTCGAGCTCGTTTTTATTAATACTAACCAATGCATTGTTATTGATACAATAAAACAGTTTGGCCTCAATTTTTCCAAAATTATTGTAAACTATATTAGATATTTTTTCGATTGTACGATTATTTAAGTGGTATTTTTTCTTTATTTTGTCAATGTATTCTTTAAGAATATCTATCCAAGTGCTTTTGATTTTTTGTTGCGAAAAATTTAATGGAGGTCGAAATTTTGTACCTTTTTTGAAAATTTCGTGAATGTCTAATCTATTAAAAATACTGACATCTCCTGTAACAATGTCTTTGTGATGGCTGGATACGTAAGTGGGGTAATTATCACAGATACAAGGTATGAGTTCAGTATTCAAACTTGGGATAGCTTTCAGGAATTTGTTATAGTTGAAAATACGCGTAGAGATTGGACTGTTGTATTCAAAAATGATTCTAAAGTTTTTAAATTCTGTGTTACCTTCATCAATTAGAGCTCTGACGGCTCTGTTATTGAAAATTTTATTAAGATTAACTCTATCTAATATTGAGTTGTAAAAAGGGATTTTAATTGAAGGTAGATTTTGAAATACCTTTTTATTTTTGTCAGCGTGTTTATTGAAGTGATAGTGGCAAAGTGTGCTAAGCAGTATAATTTTATTTGTTCTTGATATATTCAAATAGTTGGTAGGATAAATTAGGTGGTATATAAGCTTAGAAATATATTTATGTGGTTTAGATTTTAGGTATTTGAAAATATCATATGGTTTTTCTGTTTGTTCGAATAGTAAATTAATCTCATTAAAGATTTCTTCTATAGTACTGTTTGGTCTGTTTTTATGTCTATGGTTTCCTCTATTTTTTCTTTCTTTCAGAATTCTAAGGCTAAAAAACGGATGAGCTTTAGAGGTTGTTAAAGGGTTTTGTATTAGACTGAGATTTCCGTAGCCTTTAATATTGTCATTGAAACCAAATGGGAAGGGAGTCATTAACAATTTTATCCAAAAAAGTTCTTTGTTTCTAAGTATTTCTGTGTCTTGATTTTCAGTTAAGTTGTCCAAGATAGAAATTGTAATATCACTACTGTTACATCCTTTTTCCATGAAGTGTCTATAAAGTATTTTGTTTTCATTATCCTTCGTTATACCTCTAATATGTTCTTTGATTCTTTCGCGAAGTTTGCGGGTGGTTATTCCTACATATTGTAAACCACAAGTACCACATCTAATGCAGTATACTACGTTTTTGCTGGTGCAGTTGCTCACTGTGCGTTTATAGGTATTTATTTTGAATCCAGTGACTTGTGAAATTACGTAGTCATTGTAATCCATTTTACTACATATGTTACAGGATTGATTACATTTTGAACCCTTATTTTTATTGCCGAAATTCAGTAGGTTGTACCTGCCGGATACCTTACGCTTATAGAACGTAGAACCCTGAAAATAAGATTGGGAATAACCATATGTTTTTGTATTGTTTTTGAGCCTAGATCTAAGGTATAGAAGGGCCCTATCCCATACCAGAGGGAAGGTTACTTAGAGTTTCGGGAGGACTGCTCCCAGGGGTTGGCGCTCCCTTTGAAAGAATAGCTACCGGAGGCGTAGCACTTACCCTCCCTTGCCAGTGACTACTTGTGTAAACCCCATCGGTAGTACCCGGAAAAAAGAAAAAGGAAAAAAGGAAAAAGGAAGGGAAGAAAAACTAAACCCACCAACGTAAGGTACACAACCTACCCCCTTATGTGTAGTACAATGTTTTGACTGTTTAAGTTTTGAGTACATGAAAGGTTTTTTTAGGATTTTTGATTATGTAATGTAAGGGCAAAGAAATACTATGAATATATTGGTAGTGAAATGTTATATAATGCTTGTTTAGTGTGATATTAATCTTATGTCTTAGTAAATATCAGTTCTTCACTATGGGGCTGAATCAAGTTATTGTCAGTAAACTAACTTCAGTTTCAATCTACCGTAATCTAGAGGTCCAAGTGATTGTTATAGGAACGTCCTATAATCGAATTACGCTTGGGAAGAGAAGTAAATTGATTAGACCTGGAATGATATCCACGAAAGTCCATAATGGAGGAAAATGGGCTTTCAAACCCTATTTTATTCGTTCGCGGTGAAGAGTGGTCGGAATCTGCTTTCGCTCGCGTTATCCAAAAATTTTCATCCCATTGCAACCACGAGGCAATGCGGTGAAATGAAAATGATACAACCCTACCTGAGCTCTCGCTTGCGAAAGATGACGTCAAAAGTCCATTTGGAATGGGGCAAAATGGGATTTACCTCCATTTTAAACGGACTCGAAAGCCCATTTTACTCCCAGCAGCAAGGTGAGCTGGGACTTAGTCCATTTTTGACCTTTTTGCATATTTTTGATTGCGATTTTTTGAGAATGTGTTCCTCAGCCTATCTTGAGGTAACAAGAGAGTGGAAAAAGTTTCATGTCTTTTATAAATTCTGAAATAAGTGTTTTTTTCTAAACTCATATAAATGCTGTTAAACTCATGGAAGGAGGTAAAATTCACCAAAATATTCGTCAACAAACTCAAATGCTTCCAAGTATTAGGTCGATGCGAATATTCCTATGTAAATCGAATAAAGTTTGTTAACTCTCCAAATCATCAACCAAAACTAGATTTATGACTTGTGTTTAAAAGTAAAAAAAGATTTGCGTTTTGAATCAATTACTCAGAAGCTATCTTCTAACTATTCTCGTAAAACCGAACCTCAAAGACGAAATTTCAAACGCGATTTTAAGTTTGGTCGCAAGAATTAATGAAGTGCTGCTAGCTAGCAAGTAAATTGTGAAAAATTTCTTTAGCAATAGTCCGTACATTTAACTACTTGAGATATAAACATTAGTGCTGAAAGACAAAGAAGAGCTAAAGTAGTACATTTGCGAAATCTTTTGCAAATTCATAGTTTTTCCAAATTAAAAAAAACTCTTTGGGTTGTAGTGTAGTAGGTTTCCTAATAAGCATTTTTATTCACAGATTGCAGTGCAAGTCCAGCCAAAGTTTGCTTTCTGCACAAAGCTCTACTTACGAATTTAATTCAATGCAGATTCATAGAAGTCTTGAAAAGCGAAGGCCCGGATTTTACATGAATTTCAGTTTTGGGGGTAGTTTAGATGCATAGTCATCGATAATAAATGGCACATTGAGGGGTGTAACGAAGTGGGAAAGAAAAGAATATCAACGAAACTGATATTGTAATGTTAGGTCAGCCTAGTCAAATATCGACACTTGATGGAAATGAGTTTGGAAGAGTGAGCAAACAGGTTGAGACAAGTTGGAGAAAGGCATGCTTAAGCATTTTTGTATAGAACTAGCTGATCTGCCCGGTCCAGCCCGGGAAATCACTGATCGGGAATGAAGATAAGGTATTCGGTGGCATTGTAGAAACTGTGTAAAGAACAAAAACAAAATGTGAACACTTATTAGTCGGTAGCATATCTCTCTTTCTCCAAATCATGTTCAACACGCAAAACCTAAGCAAGTAGCGCGAGTTAATTGATAGCAGCGCTCATTGTTATTATGAGGATCATTTTTTGTGACACTTTGCCGTTAACCGGCTACTTCATCTTCATTCACTGCTTGCCGTCAATTTTTGTGGAGTCGGCAGTACTTTGCACTCGCGCACTTTCCTGGTCCCGGGATCAACTACAGCGAATGTGAGTTGTCGCTTGTCTTGACATTATTTCTGGTATTGACAAATAATTTGTGCGCAATCTCATGAAAAATTTTGACCCCTCATTGTTTAAATTGAGCATGTAACGAAGAAAGCTTTGATTATAAGCGTAAATTGAGCACCTTCCGTACAAAACACTCGCTACAAAGCACTCATGGTCTCTTGCACGCTAAGGTTTCCGCAGCATAAAATACATTTAGTGCATCCATTTAAATGAGCAATTGAGACTCACATCAAGAACACTTTTCACTGCACTTCGTCAACAGAATTTCACAATGAGACGTGCCAGCCTTGTTTACATACCCCTGTTTTGATAGCAAATGATAAGAATCATTTTTATTGCAAAGTGCTGCAAATCAATAAATCGATAGAAGGACCCAACTAATCGCTACAAAAAGTAGCCTATCATCTGCGCAAGGCTCGAAAACATATGTGTGCAAAGTTTCAGCTTAATCGGTTGAGCGGCGCGCGTTTCTATAACGCACATACCCTCCAAACTGACAATTTTTGAGTTTTATATATATACCAGTGCGTCACCTCCGCTTCGCGGAGGTTCGCACTGGCTCTGTTATCGGTATGCCTTATTCATGCTCCCAAAATGATGACTTTGAAACTCACCGCGCGAGGCTGTACATCATAAATGAATTGTAAACAACTGTTCATTCTTGAAGCATCTCCATGTAAGATCGGTAATTTTGAGAAAGAAAACTTTTTTGCCAAAAAATAAATACGAATTCGAACAGATTATTGAATTTATTTTGGCTTGATAATTGTTATAAAGATAATAGTCATTTTGGGCTACATTTTCATGCAAAAATCTTTTCAGATATTTATGTAAAACCTTGTCAAATCGACTCTCTACGCGATCACTACTTTTTGGCGCTGTTTTCGCGGAAAAGCAAGCTTTTAGAGCACTTTTTGAGCTGGAATTCTTGGAGCGCAGATTTTCTTTGTCAGGCAAATCAGGACTTTGCAAAAAGTTGAATTACCTAGTTTTGCGCAGCAAAAGCCAGGTGGACCCGCTTGAGGCGCAATTTTTGAAGGACCCGCTTATCGAACTGGTTCGTCTTTGTGCATGGTGAGCCTACACGCTGGCACGGTATGTTGTGCAAAATTGCAGCCCGATAGCTTAGTTGCAGCTTACTCTATGAATTTCGTGACAGACAGATTTACAGACAGACACACACACAAAAAAACAGACGGCCTTAGCGCGTTATTATAGTAGGATAGATGAATGGATTCGCGAATGCGATATCTTATCGCACCGCATGGACTAAGTCCATTTTATTCGCAAGAAAAGCCCATTTCGCGAGGACTTTAATATCATTCCTGAACTAACGTAATAGCAAGATATGGGTTAGTAAGACATTTGAAAGAAAATAATATTAAAAAAACACAAATTGATGGTTGTATTTGGTATGCATTTTGTGGTCGGATAATGTAATCGCACATGACCAGCTATAGCAATACAGATGACGAATTGGTGCTATTCATTACTCATTCTCAGAATGCCTCAAACGTAAGAGATCAAGTGTGTTGATTCTGCATTCAAAAACATTCGTGCCTGAGATTGCAAAGTATCTGGAATCTTTTGACATATTGACGACCATGCAGATTTTTAGTTGTCTGCCTTCTGGGACCAAGCCCTTTTACACACCAGCCCATACTTTTTAACTGTAATCACGCATACTGCCATCTACGGTATACCTACAGTAGATCTGAAAGGATGACAAAAAGGTAGAGGTCGTCCCTAGATTCAGTGCAAAAGAAAGGTCATGGAATTAGTTTATCTCAGGATACCAGTCATTTTAACAAAATTCAAGTCTTGACACATATGGTGTGTCAAGCGGTCCCACGCGGTAGTCATTTGAAGCGGTCGTCAATGTGTTAATGTGAATCTTATTGTGTTAGATTTGGTGCTTTGAGCTCTAGCCACGAAATAGCTTTGATATTCAATTGAACAACTGAAGCAGACGCAAGCACCATATACAGTACAGTGGGACGTTCAGCGAAGCGAACATAATATCTGCAACGAGCGTCATACAAGCGCTCACGGAGTAATTTCGACGAGATATGCGATCTTTACATTTTGGGCAAAATTCATGAGAACGTGTTTTCGTAGGCTCGTAAGTCGGCGAATTTCAAGGAATGGAGCCTGAGTAATACACCATTCGATAGCACACTTCCTAGTAACTTTGACTGAGAAAAGCAAGCAGGCAAGGTTTCTGACAGATACGCGAGAAGTGCCGCCAAAATTACGCACTTTCGTGATGCAGTTACAGTCACCTCACCGTATCTCTCCAAAAAGACCCCGTAATCCTCAAAGACCACGATTTTCGTAAAGAGCGTGTTCGAAAACCTCTATAAGCGAAGTTTCCCTACAATTCAAGAGCATCAACATTTTGACCAAAATCCATCGGCGAGCTTCCGGAGCGTAAGAGAAAAAGTGGAATAATCCGAACATATCGGAAATGCTCGTAGAGGTTATGCGACCTGCTGATTTCGAAACTCACATCTGCTTAGCAAGATAGCTTCGTATTCTGCGGATATGGCGAGTAGAATTTGGGACGACAAGATTTTTCCACAATTCACTCGCCATTCTACTTTCTTTAAAAAGGTAACTGCGGCTACTATTTAACACATTATAGTCTACAGAAAAAGTGCTATCGAAATATCCTCGCTGGAATGTACTCGGGACAATGCTCGCTGCTTTACACCTTCGCGAAAAGACGTTCTCAGAAAGATTCATGAATACTGAAATCGAAATATCAAGGACATGCTGTGTATGAGAAAAATCGCCTTGATGAGCTGAGCAAGGCGCTGCTTTCGGGTTCAAAACATACTTATTCCGAAGGAAGTTATGGCGAGTAGAATTTAGAAACGCGTGATTTTTTCAAAATTTCCAACGCTTCTATCTCCTTTGAAAAGAAGTCTGAGCTTACTTTTTAGCGCACAATAATCTACAAGAACAGCTTTATGGAATAGTACTTAGTAAAGTCTTCTATGTTGGGAAGGCGTCGCTTCACATATTCGCGAAAGGACCTCCGTAGAACAAACTGAAAAAACTGAAAACGGAATATCGAAAACATCGTACCCCCACTTCCAATATATCAGAAGATTCTCCGCGCCGAGTTGAATCAAATGGTGGCTTTAAATCCAGAATTCGTCCACTCTGAAGCGAGATATGGCCACGCGACGCTGATGTATGGACATGTCCATACATGTGTGGACATGTATGGACATGTCCATACATGTATGGACATGTCCGTACATGTCCATACATGTCCATACATTTGCGTCTATTTTTCAAAAAATGTGAGCGGTATTGTAAATGTAAAAAACCCTCAAAAACGAAACGTCGACTATAAAAACGGAACATATGTTGCGCTTCTTCGGCCACAAAAAGGATGTACCCTTTGCTTTTTGTCCCAGAAACGATATCCAGCTTATTTGTAAGCCACCTGTGCCGAGTCCTGTATTGAACTCTCAAACGCGTTTGTTTAGAGACTGATGCTTTTGGCAAGATTCCTGCGGGCTTGATGCAGTATACGATTGTTAATACAGGATCGTACTCAGAATGCATGAATATAGTGGCACCATACAAGTTGCAATACTGTTATATGGTCGCCAGTGCAGTAATGGTATGCAACCACTTTTTAAAATGCATAACTTAGTTTTCGTGACCCCGTACTGCAGGAAGGACCTTCAATGGGACAAATCGGTCCAAAAATTGCTGTATGTATGCCAAGAAGCTGCACTGAAACGGTAAAAGATAAAGCGAAGCAAATTATTATTAATATTTAGCTATCATTCAGGACATCACTAAGATTTTGGAGCGCTATAATGTACAACAGTATGTACAACAGTATGTACAACAGTATGTGCCATTCAACTTCACCTTCACTACTGACACGAATTGTGTACCGTCAAAAAACACATACTCCCCAAATTTTTGGGTGTTCATGTAAGCTTTACCATTTCTTATGACCTTGTACTGATCAACTTCCAGTCAATTTATTAGAAGATAAAAATTTTTTTACATTGATTAAGAGGGATTGGACTGTTTACAATCCACTTTATGCACCACTGCATGTTACAAAGACTGCCTTCGCTTAAAAAGAGTACGCTTAATCTGGTTTCAGGCCAGCTTCTCATTAGTAATTGCGACGCATCCGCAGCACGCTCGTGCTGCCTCCAATGCACTCTTCTCGTTTTGCGATAATTTCTCTCTTCTCTGTATTATTTTGTTGCTATGAAATCTCAATGCTACTCACAAGAAAATCAAGTTTAGTCGAAGCGGATGTAGTGTACAACTATACTGAAGAGCATAAAACGCTGGGTATTTATCCGCGAAACACTTGTGGACAAAGAGCCAATGAGCGTTTATTGGAGAAAAAAGTGAATACGGATCTAGGAAGTGAGCTGCTGAAATCTTTCTAGCCCTCAAATAGAGCAAACAAGTGTGATACATTTTTTACCTAGAAGTATCTATCGTATGTTCTTTAATGATTATCACTGCTCCACTGAAGCGCTAAGGAAAATGTTGCAAGGATTTTCGTACTTCTTGTACATGCAATTTTTTGCATCAAGAGACGCGCATAACTCCTCGCTCATGAACTTTCCGCAGATAAGGAAGGCAGATTTGAGATCAGCGCTTTATACTCTTCAATAGGGACACATCACATCTGAAAAAGCCATTCGACTTAACATGGTTCCTTTGTTAGGTGTGAACACCTACGAAATAGCCGGTGAGGAATTAATACGAATTCTTTTGTTTCAAATATTCTCGATTATTCCCAGAATAGTGAAGATTTGAGTAATTTCTGAAGATTATATCTTCATAAATTTCTACCATAGAATGAGAGAGTTTGTTAGATTGATTGTACAGTATACATGCTTTTAAGTCGACGTAAAACTTTCTAAGAAGCCAGTAGTATGCTCACAGGAAAGAAACGCCTCAAAAATGATGCTCGGCTTGTTCTATTACTAAGCATTATTATGAACGGAAAGCAATGAGGCACTTAGAGGATAATCTTAGGTTTCCTAACGAGAAGAAACGACTAGATGCTTCAATGTTTGAAAGTTTTCAAAACATATACACCTAGAATGCGAAGTCACTTCGACAAGCTATGGGACCACCCAAAGTACCATTGCTGCAATGGGTGGACAGTCATCAAATCTACGTTGGCTCGCTGGTGTCAACACTCAAAGCTGTTGTTGTAGTTGTTGTCATTGACAGCATCGACAGCAAAGACGTTGTACCCTTCTCCGCCATTAAAGGCAGCGTCCGGGCAAAAAGGCGATTTTGAGATTTTGTGCTTACCCGGGCCTATTCGCTATGCTGAATCCGAAAATCACCACTAGAGAGCGCGAAAACGGCGAAAAATGGGTCTAACGCAGGAGGAAAATCAGCAGGGGGCGGAGCGTCCGAGAAGGTGGATTCTCGCTTCCAGCTTCCGGAGCAATCTTATCGGTTCCGATCTCAAATCACTCGTTTGTACTTGGCCGGTAGCGATGTTACGGCGACTAAAGGAACCGAGAAGATAGCTCCGGAAGCTAGGAGCGAGAATCCACTCTCTCGGACGCTCCGCCCCCTGCTGATTTTCCTCCTGCGTTAGACCACTTTTTCGCCGTTTTCGCGCTCTCTAGTGGTGATTTTCGGATTCAGCATAGCGAATAGGCCCGGGTAAGCACAAAATCTCAAAATCGACTTTTTGCCCGGATGCTGCCTTTAAGAAGAATTTTTCACCACCGCTTAATTCTGTGTTCTTATTGTTAGTTCTTTACGCTCTATCCATTCATGTGCAAGACATCCCAACTTTCGCCAGTCTGGGAAAATATAGCGACAACAATCATTCGGTTTCGTAGCGCCAAAAAATCGCGTTTGTAAAGTTTTTTTGCCTTTTTCTTCGGAAATCAACAAAGCGTTTGCGTAATCAATAAACCTTTGACAGAGCATGAAAGTCCTTTATTGCGATAGTGTCACAGCAGTTTTCAGCCAAAACTAGCGCAACTTTCTTTTTTTGCAGATGTCCAACATTAGGGTGTCCCACATAATTTTTCTTACCATTTCTATTACGATCGTTGTCTTTTTGTATCTTTTCTTCAACTGATGTGGTTTCGGTAATCAATCGACAGGGCAAAGCAAGCTTTACAAAATGGGTATCACTAGTCTGCCCAAATCTTACGTACTTCATGTGGAATTTTGAGCTGAAGTCTGAAAGCAGTCAGAAGCGAAGGTTTCCGTGAAAAACGTATCTCCACCCCAAAAAATCTTATTAATTTCCCATTTATCCTAGCATACGCCTGACATGTCAAACATTCAATTATACGAATTCCATATTTTTTTCGATGGTTAGAAATAGAATAAGTGGGGTAGTATAGAAAACCCCGCCCCAAAACGCCCTGAGCTCCTCCCAAGCACGTAATCACATTGCTCATACGTACAGAAGTACGACCATGTTTCTGCAAACTTTGTAGGTGCCCCAATTCTCAGCAAATGTTGACGTTTAGGGTGAAAACGGTAAAAAAAAATTATGGGACACCATAATACCTTCTCATCTTGAAGCTTTCATACCCATTCCCTTTAGAAAAGAACGACTCAAGCGGATCAGATCCTGCGCTCTTGCCTCACCGGAACTCGAACATTTCCTTACGCTTGTGTTAAGGAAAAAGGTGTCAAAGTTGCAATCGTCAACAGGCCCAAGCGGGGCGGCCGCGCAGGGTAGAAGCTGCTCGAATTCCTCAGTTCAAGTGACACAGAGAGTACCACAAATTTACAATTTCTCTATTCGTTGTCGCGATATATTGATGCCGTGCTAAAATGTTCGAATCTGCTATTAAACCCGGAGTTTCCTTGGCTGAAAAAATATTGAGTTCACCTTCACGATCTATCTCGCATAGGTGGAGCTAATCTACTCCTAATTTTGATACAAAATCAACATACATTTTTTTTTCAAACCATTAAGTCTCCTTACACTCTATCCAATCGTTTCCTTATTCGGCAAGAAGTGTTTTAGCGTGACTAATAATGCTCTCTAACGTGACCTCCACCGACTCAAAAGATGTAAAAGTCTTCTTTATTTTGTCATCAAAACAATATTCATAAGATATCCAACACTCGCAACTTGCTTACTATTAAATTTGCAAGCCCGCGAAATTTGTTTTTACGGTTGATGTGGTATCGCTAGAATCGCAGGCGACGAATTGTGACGTCTATAGTGCGTATTCAGCTTGAAGAATCTTTGCAAATTACAACTCCCAAGCTGCGAAGCTTGCGTTTTGTTATTTGATTATTCCTGATGTTGTAACAAAGCTGTCATAATTTTCTTTTACAAATTCGTGTAATTAGTAACAGAAACATCTATTACAGAGCATAAATGTGTTCATTAAACTCCAAACAAATAATTTCAGCAGTGTTGTGGCGTTTTTTTCAATCTGGGCAATCTTTGCAACTATTACTGACTATATTCTGGATACGTACTACAAAGATAAGGTACATGGTACAGGTAAGAAGAACAAATTTGCATACTTTATTTAGGCGACGTAATTATTGTGCGTTTCGAATTAGACACGATAGAGAGCGTTCACGCTCGCAGATTGCAGATTTTGCACACCATAGAATACACTAAATAATTATTTATCAGCTGTCAGATTCAATGTAGGGGTCTTGCAGATTTATTGAAGCTGACAAATGTCTGCAATGCGCCGCTCTCACCCAGAACCTGCAAGTTGATGTTGCCATTTGTCGTAACTTAGAATCTTCTTTATAAGTTAGATGCCAATTTAGCTTCTTACATTGGAAGAAAGAAAGTAACCAATTTCACGAAAGTAGGAAATGAGGAAATGCTTGAAAAGATTGAACATTTCTGCAAGCATACGTTCCCTTACCTCCACACAGTATTTCCCGGCTCCCCAGCCCATAGGCTAGCAAAGTCGAAAAAACTTGTGTTGGTCATTGATTTGGATTAGTCCCACTCACTTACTGCCTAGGCGTCCGAGTTGCTTCGCCAGTACTGTGCTACCGTTGTATTAGATCGTCGATACGGTCATTACGTTGCGTGTCCGCCTTATATTAGGTTGATTCATGATTAATGCACGTTTTCTATACTTCAACTTTCAGCCGAGGTATTTCTTTTTTTGGAAAGACATTTCCGGCGCCATAAAAACTACTGTAACCATCAAACCAGTGGTTATGAAACAGATACTTTTGCATGACTGTATCTATCATAAAAAAGATTTTCTTGCCTGGAGATTGCCAACAACTTTTTTCGGAAACCTCTACTTTGAGAGAGCATAACCTGTACTTGAATGAAGTAGGATAAAGCAGACTTCGCTCATCATGTAGCCAGGGGTCTCTTTGAGCAGTAATGCCAAGCTTGAATTTTAAGGAAAAAATTTGAAAGAAATCGCTAAAAAGTCGAAAGTGCTCACTTTTTTTCTGGCATCTCGGCGGGTTCAAAAATCGGTCATTTTTGAAATTATTTCATTTATCTCCGCGGGAAAGTGAGAAAACCTTAGCGCTTTTCTACCATCAAATGAACTAGGTCTACCCTTGCATGATAGTGCAAAAGACCTGCAATCGCCTTTTGCTTCAAAGTTTTATGTGGCACGGAAGGGCCGCGATGATCGTCAAAGTTCGCAATTGAATTTCTCGGCTCAGAATTCATGGAGAATTTTGTTCAAACAGCATCTTGTAGCACAAAGTTTTCTAATCCTTAAGCATATTTTTTATAATTGATCCGCTCATTCCTCATGGATTTAGGGCAAAAAGAGTGAAAAGCAAAAATTTTGGGATTTAGTCTCTTTCATTTGAAGGCTCAGAACTTTGGAATGAACGGAGATGTATGAAAGCGAAGGGGGCCACGTAAGAAACTAGAAAAAACGCTCTTAGATGGCGAAAGGTTTTTGAGGGAATTGTTTACACATCAAAGCTATTGGAAGAAGAGGTGAGAAAAACGTGCGTTAAATATGAATCAACCTAATATTTGGTCACACGATAACTATCCACCAAACCTCAACCCCTATCAATAAATCATAAAATCAATATATGTCAAGGTAGTATGACATCCGTCACGAGGTGCATCGTGCAAACATTCTGCTAAATTTTTTGGTGGTATTCATTCCTTTGCTACAAACTGTATTTCTAGCTTTCTCTATGCTACAGAAAGCTTTCCAGGACGTACCCTACATGTAGTATGTCGATTAGTACTTCCTTTGCGCATATACGAAGCATTTGCAGGCCCTCCCGTGCACCTCTAATCGATGTACGTTAATGACAGATGCTTAAGATTAAGCGTAACTTGACTAGCTTCCAGCTTAGTGTTTTGCATCCGCTTTAGACCCCGGACAGACTTCACGCGATTTGATCGTCGCGACTCAATCGCCGACATTTCCATTCATTTTCATTTCACATTCAAAAATTTCGGGCTGGAAAAGTATCACAACCGAAATCAAAGTTGATCGGCAGTTGGAATGATGTTGTAACAGTTGTCTCGTCGCGATTCAGTCGCGACGATCAAGTCGCGTGAAGTCTGTCCGAGGCCTTACAATTCATGCTAAACTGCTTTGACATCGCTCAGCTCTCATCTGAACCTATACCTGTATAGTTTTTGAAAATTGATTGAACTGCTGACTTTGCCAAACCCTAGTTCGCAACTAGCCTGAAGATCAACCCATTATGCCCGAGAAAGACATTAAGCCTGTGTTTCTTCTATATTTGCACTCAATTCATGGTTGAGAGTTAGCTGGTATGCGACGCAATAAGACGTAAACGTATTATTCTCACATCGTCATCGTCGTCGCTCCATCTATAACGAAATTTTGTGGGTGGTGATTTTCTTGTTAGTGCTGTGGAAGTATTCGAAGAGAGATTGACTTAAAGGCAGTGTCCGGGCAAAAACTCGATTTTGAGATTTTGTGCTTACCCGGGCCTATTCGCTATGCTGAATCCGAAAATCCACATTGGAGAGCGCAAAAATGACGAAGAAAGACTCTAACACTGGAGGGAAATCAGCAAGTGGGCGGGGTCTTCCCCACGTGAATTCACGGTCCCAGTTTCCGGAGCGATCTTCTCACTTCCGATTTCAGGTCATGCGTTCGCATTTGGTCTGTGGAGATGTCAGGACGGTTAGCGGAATTAAAAAGATCGCTTCGGAAGCTGGGACCGTGAATTCACTGTGGGGAGGACCCCGCCCACTTTTGATTTCACTCCTGTGTTAGAGCCCTTTTTTGCCGTTTTCGCACTTTCCAGTGTGGATTTTCGGATTCAGCATGGCGAATAGGCCCGGGTAAGCATAAAATCTCAAAATCGACTTTTTGCCCGGACACTGCCTTTAAGTTGACTTGCCTTGACTGCTGCAAATTCTCAACTTGATTTTTCGACACAATTAATTTTGCACTGCAACGAGGTAATCAAGAGAAGAAGGCCAACAACCGAAACTGCATTGCATTTGCGCAAATGGTCATATCGCGGTTTGTCTGTGCAGCAAATTGCATTCTTTAAGCGATACGGATTGTCTTTTTGATGTTAATGCTAGCCCTCGCCGTATTTAAATCCTATAAAATAGGTTTTTAAGACACAAACATTTCACAAATTTTGTGGAGCAACGCTAAGAACCGCTAAGACAAGCAACTTAACTAGATATGACAATCATTTACCCAATGGACAACTAAGTCCATAAGTCCTTTGTTCTGTTGGGAATGAGATGTAGGTGATCGTTTCAAGCTTGTCGTGTTTGCTTCCTTTCATCCGCTAAGTATTTCCGCAATACAAATTCAAGTTTTAGTACTAAATCTACTAGGCCGTTCCGAAAGTAATGTCGCTTTTTACAAAATGCTTTTTACAATATTCTGCAGCATAAAAATCCTCGGAAGCTTTTTAGTGCGTTGGATGCAGTTTTTCACTCTCTTTTGAGTAGTTGTTTTCCCATTCCACTTTGGCAAACGAGCTCTCAGAAAACAAAAACAGGAATCAAAAAACTACGACTCACAGTTTTTGCTCTGGTCAAGTTTCGCTATTTTTGAAAAACTTTATACCGACCTGTCTGGGCAAACCCTACGGGATACAAAGCGATTTTGCTCCTGCTTTTTAGCATTTTCAAAATCATTTCGATGCTATCAAATTCCATACTCGGTCAATTCAGACCTCATAGAACATCAAGTCGGGTGTTATTCAATGCAGCCTTTTGTACTCTTTTTGATAAGACTTTTTGTTTCCGATTCATAAAGTCGTCGAGGATAAAATCATTATAATCATTTTCTGATACACCTCAGGCGGTATGCCTACAAAATTCGAGACTTGCTTTTCTGAGTCCGTAGACGCTCACTTTTTTATAGTGCTCTTAAGCCCTTTTCGCTAGCTTTTCTGATGAGCTTGTGGACAGACCTGCTAAAGTCTTGATAAAGGTTTCGCCAAATAATTATGACAAAATATGAAGAAAAAATGCTTTATACTTCTTACGGTTTACTCAATTGTTTCTTGCCGCGTTATCAGCAAAGGATACCATCGTAGGCTGGCGCTTGAAGACTATACGTATATTACTAGACGCATATTTGAACGCTCATTCCACGCCTGCTTTCCTTTTTGCGAATCACCCTCCGAAAAAAGTTATAAGCGTTGAATGTCCAATTTCGCCGAGCATTGCGTGGACTGAAATTAGCGAGTAGTTATGCAACAACATCTGAGAGTAATCAGGGGTAATCAATTTTATGTCAAGTATTAGGTTGGCCCAAAATTTCTGTCGCACCAATTTCAAAAATTCGTAACTTCTGAGTTTCCCAAATTTGCTTGCATTCATTTTCATTTGAAAGAGCAAGTCATCTCTTCATAGCGGTATTTTAGCGGCTTCCTAATGGTCATGCATTACATAGATAGAGGCGGTAGAAGCAAATTATCCAAATTCTGAATTTTCTATGTAGGGTCATAAAAAAATCTCTAACTTGCAGTAAAAATCGAAGCCGTCAGTATTATAGCTTCTATTACCTTCTCTTTCTAATTGTCCAAAGTTTGTGCTGATCTAAAGTCTCCATCAAATGTTACGATTTTCCGAGAAGAATGCCAAGACAAATCAAACTCGCCCTTTTGTATTGCTTGCTAAAAATCATAACTTTTTATGAAGACGCTCAACCGGCACAGAATTTGCACAATTAGAGCACGTAATCGGACCTATAATACTGACAACTCTGATTTTTACTGCAAGTTTGAGATTTTTTCGGCCCTACGCAAAAAATTCAAAATTTGGGTAGTTTTGTGCCGATGTAATCGGCACCTCTCTTTGTAGCCTAATTCTTATGCCAGATTGCCATAAAGGTCATGCTATAAGCATGACCTGCTGTGATATGAGTGTGTTGATTGCCCAGATGCATGCCAAGTTATTTTGCTCCGCCTGTCATCCTCAGCATTCTACCACTGCTCCCATGAGAGCATGTCGACTGCCTCAATAAATCTGCCAGGCTAGTGTATTGTCCACACCTGCAGATAATCTACCAAGGCGACAACTACGCCTCAGGCAACGTCGACGTACGTTAGCCTAATAAGTTTTCTTCTACCGCCTCCATCTATGCAATGCATGACCGGAAGCCGCTAAGATAAGGCTATAAAGGAAAACGATTTGGTCTTCCAAATAAAATGATGCAAGCAAAACGGTTGGGAAACTCAGAAATTATTAATTTTGAAAATAATACGACAGAACTTTCGGGCCAACCTAATTCATTGACTACAAAAAATAAACATAGCCAGTGTAATTTTGCGTAGGTTTGAAGAACTTATAGAGCTTTTGTTGTGGAGCTTTTCGCCTATCTGAAGCAACTCGGCAAATTTATACAGTCAAACGCTCATAACTTCTTTCATAGAGATGCTCCGCAAAAAGGAAAGCAGATCTGGAATAGCGTTTGACAACGCGTCTAGCATTATGCATTTCACGTTGGTATACTTCCTTCATTAGAAGTTTCGGTATGAATCACGAAAATAGCGAATATTAACCATTCCAAGAATCGTGGGTCGTAGGTTCTGATCGTTTTCTGAGAGCTCGTAGGCCAGACTGGGATTAGAAAACGGTGGTGGCGCCCAAAAGCCTCCGAGAATCTTTTTAGAAAATGTTACTCTCTTTCTTATAAATAAAGTAGAAGTACTTTCGGAACGACCTAATATACAGGGTGTCCCAAAAGTAAGTACACCCTTTTCGACCGTTAGTAACTTTCTTTCCACATAGTCTTTTTGCTTAGATTCAAGCATTGAGTAAAGCGGGCTCCAACTCAGGTTTAAAGTATGAAGCGTCTCATGCCTCGTTACTGTAGGGTTACGGTAGGAATATTGAAAAGGGGGTTTTAAGCCAGCAAAGACCACGTTTTGCCCCAGAATAGATACTCAATAAGCTAAAAACTCTATTATGGGGCGAAATTCAGTTGCTGATTATGAATATGAAGTTGCACCTTATCGTAAGACTTTTTTCATGAGTTATGTTTGGAAAGCGCAATAACGTTTTTTCATTGTTTTACAAAAATGTGAACACATCATTTGAACCGCGTCAGAAAATCGTAAAAACTCGTCTTATGAAATCAGCATGCATGGAAACACTGATACACGACTTTCCAGATTTTTTTTCGAACTTTGTTTTCTAAAAGGTCTATTTTACAATGCCGCTTATGGTTGAGTTCCTATCGTAATCCTACAGTAATGAAGAGCGATGGATTGTAAATTACAAATACATTAGATTAAAATTTACATTCGCTCTGCATGTAAATCTAAGTTGGAGCCTGCTCTACTGAAAGGTACTCAAAGTTAAGCAAAAGACTTCGTGGGAATGGAGTTGTTAACAATTTAAAACTGTGTGCTTATTTTTGGGACACCCCTTATTTCAAAAAAAAATGCAAATAGCTGTTTCAAGGAATGCGAGTGTTTCTTGCCTACTCGATATACACTAATGGAGCGGACCTTTTGAACGTAAGCCCCTACAAACAAGGAACCATCAAGTCGTTAGCCTCAATTCGATTTCTCTCAATGACGTGGGTTGTAGCAGGGCATGTGATGATGGATATAGGGATCAGCGGTGCGTTCATTTTTTTTTCGATTGGTCAGAGAAAGTTTTGACTGCAATATAGACACATTGAGGCCTTCAATGGAGATATTCAATCCTTTTTTATCAACTACAATCCTAAATGCATTCTTTTCCGTCGATACGTTTTTCGTTCTTTCTGGCATTCTGGTTTCCTACCTGTTCTTCAAACATAAACCTAGTGCTGCTTATGTCAAAAACCTTATGGTGTGGATCATGTATTATGTGCATCGTTATGTTAGGTAAGAGTATCTCCACTTGCCCTTTGATTCAACAGGATTGGCGGATGGAAGGCAACCGCTTGCACTCGTGACGCACTCGGCGTCTCTCCTGCCTCCCCGCTCTCTTCGTTCCCTAAGCTCTAACCTCCTCCTTCCAGCCGCCAATGCCGCAGTTGAACCGAAGGGTATTTGTACAAAGTGCAAATTTGGTATTAGTGGCGTATGCTACAAAACATTTTCAGTTATGACAAACGAATTCAAGATAGTGAAACAGTACTTTACAAATAGGCTCAAACTTACGTTTTTTGTCACATTTAAGTACTCTATTGAAAGATAATGCACCTCTTTCTAGTATTAGGTTGTCCGGAAATTAATGCAGGTTTTGAATTTCAACCGCAATAAGTCAGACACTTTTTATTCCAAATTTGGTTGCAAAGTACTATTTGATAGAGCAAAGCAAGCTCTACAAGATGGCAATTTTGCTTTAGCAACAGCTCTGATCCACCACGAGTTTCGAGCCAAAAACCAAAAAGATCCAGCGGCGCGAAAAAAATGAGAAAAATCGTAACTCAGTTCATAAAAATCTACAAAAACTTCAACTTGCTCACGTAATTACTATTCACATAGGACATCTATATACGCCGTTGCCGTATTTTTTCTCTGTTAGAAACCAAGAAAACGGAAATTTTCGTGCATTTGCCAAAGTGGTGTTGTGCCGTCCTCACATAAGTAGTTGTATACTACAAGCCCGTAGAAGTACAAACGTTAACTTCCTGCTCTCTACAAGCTTTAGTTCTCGAGAAATATCGAACATAGCGTTCCCTAGTCAGGTGCTCCAAGCCATAGATGAGATAGGTGGAGAAATTTCTCTTAACCCCTGCACTTTAGGGCCGGCATCTTTCTGATCCCTTTCACCTGAGGTTGAGACTAATCAAGGCAAACAGCTATTACAGCGGAACTTTTTGTTTGGAAAGGAAACGCCAGCTGCTCTTCTTCTCAGACATCAAGACTGCAAGGGAGTATCGAATCAACAACGTTTCGTTAAAAAACGCATGCTTGAGACCTTCTGCGCGCGCTCAAAGGGCATTGATAACGAGACGTAATCAAAAGTAAGAGGATGCTGATTTTTTGAATAACTAACATTGTATCAATGAATGCATACTTTGCAAAAAAGAGTTGAGCAAGAGTAGAAAAATCTGAACTGACTAGCGATGGATGCATGTTTACTGACAAGAAATCATACCATATCTCTTTTCACTAAAAAGAATAATAACAAACAAAACATCAGTTAGATTACTCGTTTTTCATGCTTTCGATTCATATAAGTTCAAAAAAGACCTTCTTGGTTTGAAAATATAATTATCCAAAATTGGCTGATATTGTAGCTAGATAAAACTGCTCGTATCTCGCTTCACAGAGAAGCTACCAAAGAAGAGACGGTCTACGTCGATTCCTCGTGTTCTTAGCTATCGAATGATATATAAGGTGTTGGTGCACAAAGCTTTCCCAGTCCAAAAAAGTCTTGCCCCGGCAACCCATAGAAAGCCGGAGCGGGGTGGAGCAAGTTACTATTGAATATCTCCACCTCATTTTTGAGAAACCACAAGTTTTTTCATTCGACAACATGTAACCCATTAGAAAGCCCACAAAAAAAGGATTCGACGTAGACCGTCTCTTTTTCTCTAGCTTCCCTCTACTTAGAGTTACACGGGATTTTAGCCAAAAAGATGTGTGTTTTTGTCGAGAAATTTCTGCTTGAAGAATGGATAAAAGTGCCTGATTTTCTATCAGCATCACAGCAAGACCTTGCCAGTAAACTTAGAGCGTCTCTTTTTATTAATCTTTGTTCTTTCTTTCAAAAATAAATTACAAAATAATTACACAAAATTAGCTGGTCTAAAATTGCTCGTATCTCGCTCTACAGATAAGCTATGAAAAAAGACGGTCTACTTCGATTCTCCATAATCTCAGCTTTCGAACGGTGGGAAGCATGTTAGGGCTTTTTTGCTTGCCGGCTCTAAAAAGCACTTGCTCTGGTGACCGATAAAAGCCAATAAATTGGGGGAGCTGGATGGAGCAAGCTAATAGTAAATACCTCCACACCATTTTTAAAAACTGGCAAGTTTTTTCGCTCAGCGTTCTATATACCATTCGGAAGCTCAGGAAAAGCGGACTCGACGTAGACCGTCGAATTCTTTCTAGCCGCCCTTTACCGAGAGATACACTGCATTTTATCTGAAATCATGTTCATTTTCAACAGCAGATTTCTGCCAAACGAAGACCTAATCACTACTGGTTATCTATCTGCGTTACAGAGCAAGTCTTCATTAGCAAACGTAGACCGTCGACTTTCTCGTAGCATTGTTTTGGAGAGCAGAAAGTGAGGGCACAAAATTAGTTGATACATGAAGTACATAAAATCCCTCCTCGCGGCACAAATGACCTAGAAAAAAGCCGACAGTATGTCGATTCTATATGACTTCAGCTTTCGAATGGTATGTAACTTGTTGGGGCATTTTGCTTTCAGGGCTCACTTACCCCCTTCACCTTACAAGGATGGAAGTAGCAGAGACCCCCTTCACCTGGAGAGGGCCCGGCTCCCCCTATCGCACCTATGCTCCAGGCTAAAATTCAAATTTCTCGCGAACTAAAGCTTTTAGAGGACTGAAAGTTTATTTTGTACTTCTACAGGCTTGTAGTATACAACTACTTATGTGAGGACGGCACAGCACCATGTTGGCAAATGCACGAAAATTTCCGTTTTCTTGATTTATAACAGAGAAAAAAATACGGCAACAGCGTATATAGATGCCTTATGTGGATAGTGTTTACGTGAGCAAGTTGGAATTTTTGTAGGATTTTTATGAACCGAGTTACGATTTTTCTCAATTTTTCGCGCAGTTGAATCTTATTGGTTTTTGGCTCGAAACTCATGGTGGATCAGAACTGTTGCTAAAGCAAAATTGCCATCTTGTAGAGCTTGCTTTGCTCTATCAAATAGTACTTTGCAACCTAATTAGGAATAAAAAGTGTATGAATTATTGCGGTAGAAATTCAAAACCTGCATTAATTTCCGGACAGCCTAATAAAAGAGACATTTCCTTACCTCTTACCGATTTGCCGTTTCATCTACCTGTCATAAAAACACGTGAATGTAGACTGAACACTATTTGATGCAGCTTGTCCTTCCCTTTTAGCGGGGAACGGAATTTACATACACCATAAGGTTGCCGCCGCCTAGTGGAGTTCATGAGAGGTCATGAACTGGTAGCAACGCTAATTTGCACTCAATCTGCACCGAAGATAAGCTGATTCTGCTTAGGGCAACTCCGTCATCATCCTGCAGCCTATGAAACCGGAATTTCTCCAAAATTTGAATTCATACTTCAGTAGCAGAATCGGTGCAATTAGGGCAAAAACGTGTATCTAGGGGTATCCCAACACGCTGATTCCGAATATGTTAATCGTTCTGCTTGAAACCTAGGATTTTTTCTTTTTTGAATTGAAACTTGTTTTCACAAATAAAAATTTCAAAATTCTATGTAGGGATTTTCTGAAAAGCTGTTTCCTAGAGCTAATGATTTCGCTCGAAACTTTGAATATTTTTTCCTTCTAAATTTTCTTTATTTCCTACAAATTGTGTAAATTTGGCTAATTTCACAATTAGGATTAAGCTGATGCTTTTGCACGAAACATCGGAATTTTTCGATCTAAGGTATTACTGGAGCAAAATAGTTTAGTCGAATTCGGATTCATTTTATTTTCTTAAACACAATTATTCCGTTTGTATTCCAGCTTTATCAAATTTGCAGTGAAATTTTTGAAAAAGAGTTTGAAATTCAAAATAGAAATATTGAGGTTTCAAGCAAAACCATCTGCTTCTAGGAAATTTTTGTTGGAAAATTTGTGAAAACAAGTTTCAATTCGAAAGAAGAAAATCCTAGGTTTCAAGAGCAAAACATTAACATATTCGAAATCAGCGTTAGAATACCCCTAAATACAAGTTTTTGTCCTAATTGGACTGATTTTACTACTGAACTGTGATCTCATCAAAGAAATTCCGGTTTCATAGGCTGCAGGATGATGGCGAAGTGGCCGTGAGCAGAATTAGCTCGTCTTCGGTGCAAAGTGCAAATTAGCGTTGCTGCCAGTTCATGACCTCTCATGAACTCCGCTAACTAGACGGCGGCAACCTTATGGTGTATGCAAGTTCCCCCAAGCCATTTTAGCAGCTATGATTCTGAACTGCTGCTGTCGTTGAATTAACTTAATGTGGAGCACCTGGTTTTCACCATGTCCAACTCCAACGATCCTTCAAAATTCACAGTTCGAAATTTGAGAAGAGCTTTGGAGACAGATGGACAGAATAACCCAGCAGATGGACAAAGTGAACCGGGTTCTATAATACTAGTATTTTGAACGTCTCTAATTGTTTTCATAGATCACAAAGTGACCGTCCAAAGGCTTCACTTTTGCTAACTTTGCCATAAATGAACGCTTTTTTAACACTAATTTTGCACAGCAAACAAGCATCTTCCGCTTCGAAATATGAAATCTCGAAGTACTCGTGTCGTGTTCCATAAACTCATTTAAAGCTAATCCACGACTGAAGACCAATAAATCGAAAAGTAAAAATGCATGTCAGAAAGTGGAGAAAAACAAAAGCACCTGGGTTTCGGTTGATGTTCTATGAAGTGATACTGCCAAATTTGAAATCCAACCAGGTCATGCAACAAATCGATTGCATCGCACTTTCATATATCCATGATGCTACTCCGAAGTTCTAAAATGAAAGTGTTGAAATATAACCAAATTTGGACATGCTAACTGGGAAATTTCGTTAATTATCTTAGTGTCCACAATCTTAATCAGCTCGGAAACATGACGCTGGAGGGAGGAAGAAAAGTTGTATCATTGGTATTCTAAATTTGCCTTCCTTCTACGTGTCTAGAAAGAGTTAAAAAACGACAAGAACTTTCGGGACGACCTAGTACGTTTGCTACATCTGTTCAGACTAACACCACCTATAATGGTATTCATCTGGCTCTTCGTGACTTTGACTCCACTCATCAACGGGCCTTGGGCTCAGACAGCGGTGGACGTGCAAATGTCAATGTACCAACCATGTGAAAAGTACTGGTGGCGTAATCTTCTTTATATCAACAACTTGTTTGACATGACACAGGTATATTTTGAAAAATCCAACATGTTAATTACATCCTCGTTTTGAGAGTTGTTACCTCATAACCTGGTATCTGGCAGTCGACACCCAACTCTACGTTGTTGCGCCGATCTTTCTCATTATATTTTATATCTCGTGGATTGCTGGTACCAAAAATCTCAAGCAAAACTCAAAAAGATTCTTGAAATAAGGTTATCTTTCAGGCTATGCATTTATATGCTTGTGTATCGCTGCGAGCATAGGATATGTGTACTATATCACTATCCGTTACGATTTATCTGCAGTCTTGATGGGAGCTTTTGCGCTGAATGATTTGAAATTTGGTTTGTGAGTAAAATTCATACCAATGCAATGTAGAGAACATTGTTGATCACTTCAGAAAAATGGTGGACTTCTTCAACCTGTACTATCAAGTGCCTTGGAGTCGTTGCACGCCATACTTGATTGGGATTGCAGTTGGATATTTTCTTGCTTCGGGAAAAAAACCAAAATTAAACAATGTGATGCTTTTGTTTATGCGTAAAGTCGTTAATCATCATCTTCTAGTTATCTATCATCTCTCTATGGATGTTAGCTGCAGCAATGGCTTTGGGATCTCTCTACGGTCCACATCGGTATATGAAAGGGGTGGATTCTTGGAGGTGAACGGTTGCAGATACCTGTAACTCCAAATCTTTTTTACATTTTACGCTCTTCTCCTACAATCTGAAAGAATTGTAGTTTCGGTAGACTGCTGTGGTAATTTATCCGTCATTCTCTTTTGAATGCCATTTCCCTACTATAACATACACGGTAACGTTTCCATCTTACAATTATTCCGTTTTGGCTATGCTTCAGCAATGCGGTGAGTGGAACCTATAATAACTTCTCAAGACTTGGTTGGTCAATAGCAATAGCTTGGGTCGTCATTGCAAATCATTTGGGATGGGGAGGTACGCAGACAAAAGCATTGTTGTGCAAATTTACTCTTATATATTATTGTAGGAATTATTGCCGACTTCATGGATCATCCGTTGTGGCAACCATTGGGCAGGCTCTCTTACTGCGGTTATATCGCACACTTTTTCTTAATCTCATATATTTTCAACTTAGATGATCGACCATCACATTTCATTTCAACCTGGCGCACGGTAGGAGCTGAAGGCAACACGGCTCTTTTCATTCGTTACTTTCAGTATATGCATTGGGGTATACCAACAGTTGTTGTATCATATGTGTTCGCTTTCTTTTGGAGCTGCCTTTTCGAAGTGCCTATCATAAAATTGGAAAAGATGCTGACTGCAAATCTGATATCGAAAAAGAAGTCTACTCCTCCCAAGCGAATCGTACAGGAAAGCACAAAGGAAGGCATAAGCGAAGAAAGAATGAATAATATGGATGAAAAGATACCCAGTTGTTCTTATAAATTTTGACTTGTTCTCCTTTTGCTCACACATGACATTGGAAATAATGCCGAATCGTCGTTAATGAATGATGTGATTCCAAATTGTCTTTACATATGCACGAATGCGTGTAAAAACTACTCTCAAAAATGATGGTGGCTCTTCACTTGGCTTGGCATTTTCAAGAACTCTTGGCAAGAAGGTAATTTGATCATACCCTCGATACATAGATCTATGTACTGGTAACCTTCATTTGAGCGCCATAAGAGGACACAACTTTCACCGAAAAATCACAAGTCATCCGAGGCTCCGCCTTGGATGTTATCATCCTGAGATATATCGGAACGAACGTGAATGAAGCAGATATAGGGGAAGCATATTTTACATTATCTTAGCGAAACCGAGAATTCACGTTTTTGTAGCCCTTTTTACGCTAAAAAGAAGGTCTCTGTGAAATTTTCGCCAGAAATCAGGACAACATTTCTCAGTCAACCTCTTATTTGACCAAAATTGAGTTTCAGAAGTTTAGAAAAGCTGTTGAAGTTAAATAAGAACGAGAAAGTGTGTTTAAATCTTGCACAGAGAGTTATCTATCTCCTGAATGAGTGATTTTCAGCGTTTGGGACGTTGTCGTGCTCCTCGCCGTGTCATGACGATCCGGATGATATATAATGTTGCAGGGTTTCGTTGAGACCTCGCGGTGATCTACGACCAGAGCGAAATGCCCCATCGGCTTTGGTCTGTCTCCGCTGCTCTTCCTCGTCTCCGCGCTCTGCGCGCTACCTCGCTACCCCTAACGCGGGTCGCGGAGCGTTTGGCTCTGGTACCCTTTTCTTCGTTGTTCCGAACCTCATTTAAGCAAGCTACATATCATTTTGAAACTCTTGATCTCTACTTTCACAATGACGTCCCAAAACCACATTTCTTGATTCGAACGAGGAATCCAGCAAAGACCCTGTTTTTGAAAATTTTTTGCTTTTCCCTAGCTTAACTCTCTTCGCGCGGTTTTTCCCGCGTTCTGTAGATCTTGTTTTTGTTCATTATTTAGGCAACGATCCAGTGCTTATCTTTTCGATCATGGCGGAATTTTCTGTGAAAAATCGTAAAGAGTGCGTTTTTCTTCACCCTGTTCTATTTCAGTGCTTTCGTAGCGATTTTTTCGAGCTTGGGCAATTTTTACTCAGAAAATAAGCGCAACAACCCAGACAAAGTCCCAGGAAACAGGAACGCAATGCGGGGGTAAAAATTTAAAGGACGCATTCAAAACTAAGTTTGGCATTGACGTGCATTTCGACTTATTAAAAAAGAAGTTTTGCATTTTCACAACTTATTATTTCTTGTTAATTTTCTTCTTGATAGCCACTACTTCCAAAACATGATTTTTTTTGAAACAATCACATAAAAGAAATTTAGCTTTTCCTCGTTTTCCCCCGTGTTGAGAGTTGCTGGTCCTGGAACGAAAACCTGCACAGCCGCCGAATGAAAGAGTTCAAATTTATCCGGTTTTCAGCAGTTTCCTTTGCTTTTCATGTTGCGTCTTTTGCATTTTTTTTCTTCTCTGATCTTCTAAACAACCTTCATTTTTTTATGAGAGCAGATGTTTGAACAGCCTTTACTTTTGACGGCCTTTCTCTAGATCATCGAAGGTATGAATTTGATAAACACTACGGCATGAAGCATTATATTGGATTGAAAAGCAAAGAATGTCATTGGTTTGTGGAAAAGCAATACGTCAACGCGAGAAAGTATATGAGGAACAGCATTTGATGTATCGAAGTAAGCTCAACAACGCAATCTTTGAGTCATGTCAGTCATGATCTAAAGGTATCGTAGTGTGCCACCATTATTCTAATATGAAGCTAAAAGCGAGAGTGGGATAGATCAAAAGTCATATTGCGGGCTCGTACTATTCACGGAGCCTCAAGGTGGGGTATGTGGATAGCCCTGGATGTCAAATTGCAATGTACGACCGTGTGTATCAGAACTCAACACGAGTTGGCTTCAGCAATGTTTGAAAACGAAGTTTGCTCTATATTCGCAATACTATTTCGATTTCCTCGTGGCGCTCATTGTAATAAGCAAAAACAAACACAGAAAGAATGCAAAAGCGCTTAAGAAACATGCAAAAACAACGGCTTTTTCTTCTCGCAAGGTCCTGCTTACATATGATCTGCTTTACTTGTTAGGTAACTTCATAATTTCCTCTCGGTTCATTTGGTGTACACCAAGCTGGTACCACAACGGGTATAACTGTTTATTAGATAGTAGCGGAGCAGCCGCTGATTATTAACAGTGAATATGCGGAACAGCCGCTGACGAGAGTGGTATTAATCGAACCAACACCAGAACTGAGTATTCAGGCCCTTTTATGCCACTATTTTGAGCGTGGATAACCTGAAGGCTCACTTCTGGCAAATAAGAGTATCATACAGAATCAAGGATTGCCTACATGAAAGTAGGCAATCCTTGATTCTGTATGATACTGTTATTTGCCAGAAGTGAGCCTTCAATCAACCGCCAAGTACATTACCGCTCACAGAATGTGCAAAATTTCCAAAAGTGTCGCGAAATTCCGAAAATTCCGCGAAATTCCGAAAATTCCGCGAACTTTCCGGAATTTCGCGAAGTTTCGCGAAATTCCAAGAATATCGCAGAATTTTTGGAATTTTGCGATATTCACGGAAATTTGCATATTTTGTGAGCGGTCTAGACTATCAAGCACAGTGGAGGGGTGACCTGGCGGCTTAAGTGGTCAGTGAACAGTAATGTCTATCAACGACAAACTAGTGGATAATGAAGATAGCATACAATATGACTCTACAATAGTAAAGGTCGTAGATTCGCAAATAATCTACGACAGTGGGGCGCGCGACGGAAGGCGCAAAAGCAAGAAAATAAAATTTACACTATTACTGAAGCGTTAACAAATTCAAATTACATCATCACAACATTAGTTCAATTACATATATCACATGAGTTCTACAACAGGTTCGTGTCCTCGTCTAAGAATCGTACGGTGGTCGGTCATCGTGCCGTGGTCGGCCTTCGGGGCCAGGCGCAACGCTGAAGCGAAATGTCCCAGTAGCATGACCAACGCAGTCAAACGATGTATAGCGCAAGCACAGTTGGATAATGATGTTATTCTAGTAAATCTACCACAAGACAACATCAAGAAACAACTGGTTCGAAATCGATTATACGATAGAGCTTGCACATCGCAAAACTGTGTTGTGTGCACAAATGGAAGGCCAGGAGATTGCTCAAAAAGTGGTGTAGTTTACCAGTTGGAATGTCGAACATGCCGGGCCATTTACATCGGCGAGACCGGTCGACCGCTTTTTGTACGGGTAAATGAACATCTGGCCAGCAAAAGAAGACAGAGCCTTGTGAGCCCATTGGGGAAACATAGAAAGGAAGATCACGGCGGCGAAGACTTTGAAATAAGCTGCAGCATATTAACAATCGAGGATAACATCTCTGCTCGAAAGGTGTTAGAAGCCGCGTTCATTCTTGCTCGTAACCCGAGAATGAATAGCAAGAATGAACAGTTGTCTGTGACGAATGATCTGAAGCCGTTCTTATCATTTTGTGATTTCGATAGCCTATAGTTATTTAAACATGTCCAAACCAGTTGGACTGTTTATTGCTACCGTACCCTGTAGGCGACCTAAAGAGCCTCTATCGTGCTCTTCTCTGGGACTCTTGGTGAGTTGATCGAGCTTGGACGCTGGACTGCGGTTACGTTGGACGAGTCAAACGTACGAGTTGGTCGAAGCGTTTGATGGCATAATGCGTTTGATGAAGATGACTGACTCACTTTCAGGCCTCTGAGGACGGCGTATCCGCCGAAACGTTAGGCAGCACAATAAATCGTTGCTATAAAAACCTGTCGTGGCAAAGAAGAAATTGGATAATATTTACCAATTATGCCAAGGTTTAAAGAAAGGAGAACTTTTGAGTTTGTCCCAGTAGCTTCAATATTCTTCTTCCATGAGTCCTTGATTTTCGGCGTTTGCGATTGAACTGCAGTCTATCAAAAGCGTTGTTGCGCTGACGCTTCTGCTTCTCGTTGGTGACTTTACAGGTTGTGCAAGCTTCTTTGCCGGAATCGAACAATCGAGCTTCTTAACACGGCGTTTGGAACTTGCGTGTTTCGTTTGTTCAATAGTTGTAGTTGGCTTCTGCTTCAATGAGTTCCCTTTACTAACTGGATGATTGTAGGAGGCGCTGGTGATTGCGGTGTTCTGCGAATAATTCTTCGTTTTGATTCCGTACATACGACTGCTTCCGGAGATTGCATGGCCGAAAACAGTAGGTGTGAGAATAAGCCCAGACGGAAGAATTGTACATGGTCGATCCCTCAAGATAAATTGATTAACTAGATCTTGACCAATGAGAATGTCCGGTGTGATCCGTCGCGTCTTCAGATCCGGTTGTGCTACTCGAATCTTTCTTTTTCGAATCAGCCTTCTATCCTCTGTGCTTAGCCAAGCTGTGCTCATGTGGAAGTGAGTGTTGACTTTGCATGTATGTTCACAGTTTTGGCAGCGACTCCGGCAGACAATGTTCTCAGAGTAAGCGGGACTTCACTGGATGTGAAATTTGCGGTAGTTCCTCCAAAGCCGCCAATCTTAGAAGTGGTGTTTTGCAGCATTGGTAAGCCAAGAGCTTGGGTCTTCCTTGTGTTGATGAAGCCCTTTTGTGCACCTCCATCAAAGAAGACAGTCGCGGGCTTATAGCTGGTCAATGTGTAGTCGTATGCGAATGCAGTCGCCGTCTTCAGTACGTGCTGCATTCCTCCTTCTCGCTTAGTGCCCTTGTTGTAGAGAATTTCAGAATTTTGTGCAAATTCAGAGTCTCTTAAGAGATGTTGATCGCGAGCGGATCGTTGCTGTGATCTTCTGGCTGGGGTGCCTCTAGATGCTGAATAGCTACCCATGCGTACGGCAGTGTGGTGGTTTTCGTGATGCTTGTAACTTGACTGTGAGCCAGTGGCGTACCGATGGGGGGCGGGGGGGGGGGGGAGCGCC